CTAAACACTTATTGCATTACAGAGAGGTTAACTAGGACAGACTAGGTTTGACCGAAGGCTACTGATGTAAGCGGTGATCAATTAAATTGAACTGAAATTCCGAGTAGTGGCTAAATTCGAGCCTGATGCCCCCGATAACACCTGATAGTAAATATACCTAAAGGATATGATTTGATCACAAATGAAAGTCAGTATTTAATCGAAACAGATTTTCAAATATATCCTTATCAAATGAAATTTTTTTAAACTGTACACTAACCAAGAATTCCACAACAGTGTCAGTTGCACTGTGTATAGCTGTAATGATAGAAGTATTTATTAGTAAACTGACGTACATAAATGGCAGAATACAAAACCCTCACAAAAAAATCTTCCTTTGCACATATCCTTCGTCGTGTTGTGCTTCCTCGTCTGACTTTCTACATAAAGAAGTTGAAACTTTCAGGAATAACTCAACCTCTCCTCTTACAATTTATTAATTCAAGTAATCTGTCCATTCTCCTTTATCATTCGCCACTATTCTTCCCCCAACTTCTCAAAAAAAGACTATGTCATACTACGTAGAATACTGAAGACAGTAAGCAGTCAGGGTTAGTAGGGTGCCTCTGACTCAGTTAACTGACATCATTGTCAATGGGCGTCTCAATGAGTGCAAGAAGTTGGCTAAAGTTATCTTGTCTGATACTGAACATCCACATTATTTGCAACCTTTTCCTTGTATCTCTTCGAGTAAAAGCAGAAGACATTTCATATGCATTTACGCTCATATAACTAAATATAAAAATTCTACCATACCACCGTATTTAGCACCGGTTTTATGTTAAGAGCAAGTCAGGTATCAGAAAAGAACTGGTAAACTTTTTGAATTATTAAGTGAACTGCAAAGTATTTGCATAGATTACTACTTGTATTATCAATGATACCATCTATTTATACTTCATTATGTTTCGACCAATATTCTGTTTATAGTGGCTTCATTATTAATATTATTATGTACATATTTATAAAAAGAGGTAAATTGTTTTAATCTGTATAAATATGCTGTAAATTCCATTCTGTACAGTTGTTATTGTTTGGAATAACGTGATTATTATCATTATTCTGATTTCCATTTTATGCTTTCAAAATTCGTGTACAAAGATTTATTCCATTTCTTTTCTTCTCAACTTGATCCATTGCTGTGTTATTCAGTATTGGGGGAGCAGACGTCTTACGCATCCTGTATACTACTCACACAAATTTGTCACTAGTATACGCCTCATGAACAACACTTCTACTTTACTTTTACAAAAAAAAAGAGTAACATTCCAAGTTAGAATGCAAGATAACAAATAAATGTAAATCTTACCCCGTTTTATTTGTCAGTTACTCACCAGTTAGATAAACCATAATTTGGTCTAATCAATATGACTGAATTGATTGATTTATCAATATGGTGTAACCAATGTCATATGACCAGTCTTTAGTATTGATGCCGACTGAATTCTATCAGTCAGCTGTGTAATGCTGACAACAAGTTAGGTGATTCCGCATTGCGGGGCACTTTGAATTAACGTCAGTTATTTGGAAGCAATCCTCAGGAAGCTTCAATTATCACCTACCACTTAATTGTGAATGTACACATAATTTACTTTATTCATTACACTATACCGTCTACTCTTAAAGTATTCCTTGTTTCACATTAAATTAATTATAATTTATCCAAACATAGTGAATGATTTTACTAACCAATAAAAGTTGTATGAAAAGTATAAGATGGTTGTAGATAAGGGAAAGTTCTGTTTTCGACAAAGCCATCATATTAGCTGCACATTCGTCCAGTTCTGAACCTATCACCTAAAAATTGAAGTAGTAGATATACAGTGTTATACGTAATTAAAGATTGAAAAGCCTGTAGTTTTGTCTCACGTGTAAACTTCCTTAGTTGACTGTATAGAATTCTGTCGGTTTAAAGTGTCGTATTTCATTGAAAAACAGAAACGACGTTCTAATAAAGGAGAAAAAGTACCCTGAAGTCTCAACCTTGTTATTTTAATTCCTTGTGAATCAGTTTTAATTAGTCTGCTTGCATCGAAATGTGTGGATCACCACTATTCATTTTGTAATCTAGTCACACACCAATAGTTCTGCGGAGATCTTTATAACTAAATATGTACTACCTGTTCACTTCTCCCGTGTGCGTCGGTGGCATGTTCTCCGGTTTCGATCCCTAGTGGACGCACTCCCTTACCTTGCAAAGCCAGTAATAAGACTGGTAAAGAGGGAAGGTTAGGTATGCGACACGAAACCTAATACCATAAAAGACACCACTGCTACCGAAACTTCAAGCCTCTAGCTTGAAGCCCTATGTTCCACTGGGAACATAAAGGATTAAAAAAAATTCTGTCACTATATTATAGATGAGTGGGAAGGTTCCAGAAATATTTCCGGTAAGAAGTAAAAACACAATGAATAATAAGATGAAGTTACGCAACACCAATAAAGAATTTAAAGTGGTGAAATAATAATGATTTTCTTGGGAAAACCGTCTGTATATGATGACCATGGCAGATACACAGGTTGGAAGTAGTTCTTTCAAATACATCATAGCACTTGTTTGAACTTTTGGATCGCTATGCGCAGGTGTCTTTACCTCACTCCCTATGAGAGGTTCGACAGGGTTTTTTATGGAACTTTGAAAGATTTCCCTAATAGAGCTTTATTCCGATTTTACATAATGTCCAGTTGATTTCCACATTCGTATGTATTTGGCAGTTCACTTGTTCCTTTAGGGCTGAGCACATATCAGGTGTACTATGCGTTTGCCTGTGAACACTATCCAGTCTGGCTAGCAAAGGGAAGACGGAAGTGTATCTTTATTTCGTTAACTGAACATGCTATGACCTCCATTTGAGGCTTCTTCAAAGCCTTAAACAATATTCGGTCATCTCTGTGAAACAGAATGAGATCAAGATATCTGAGCATAACAGAGGAATTAAAGAGCTGAAAACTGAAGCAAATACTGTATATCTAGAACAATTACCTTCAGCCTTTGTCTTCAAGAGATCTATCATCCCTAGTCTACTTTATTAATGAAATCACTATTATTTTGTTTTTCTCATCCAAAACCCCTGTAATTTTTTAATTCCTGTTTGTACTGAGTAACTTCACCTTGCCATTTCTCATATTTTATAACTTCCTAACTCCTTACTTATATATTCAGAAATGTGTAGCCTAGGTGATAATTTCACTGGAGAGAAATTTTCTTCATATCTTCAGTCATTTTGTATTTTGCTTTTCCCGTGGTCCAACAGGTATATTCCCCTTTAGAAATGAGCAAAGTAAGCCTACCTGGTATTTAGTTCATCACATGATTCATTTGTCAGACGACTGTAAATGATTACTCAAGATCGACCCATCTAGACAAGCGGTAGATGAATTGAAATCCACTCACTTGCTACTTATATTTATGAAGGGTATAATTTAAATTAAAAGGATAACTGACTCCTGTTCTCATGAGGCTACATACTACTGATTGATTAACATAAGTAGCTGACACCAACCAGTAGTGCTTGCTAACTAGATCAAAGTGATAAAAACACTGAACATCGGTATTTCTCATTTGAAACTGAGGTCATTAGTTGTGTACTAGATTCGAATCAGTTCAGAGAGCAGAATCAGTTCAAGACATACGAAATGTAGCTGGCTACTTGGGTGAATGGACAACACACTAAATACTTTCATAAACAATGATAGAAACCATCACCTGAATGACTTCACACAACTAATGAAAGCAGACCAACAGACTGCAAATTCCTGCCTGAACACTAAACTGCGGTATCATACTTTCTCACTATTTCGGATGCAATCCTGATGCAACACCTCGGAGTTTCAAATCAATATATCATATATACAGGGGGAAGAAGATAAACTATCGAATATTGATGCAGTAATAGTCCCTAGCTGGATTGACATGATTTTTACACCAGATAGATGACTTTTTCCCTTATCTGTGGTCTCGTCCAGAAGTAGAGTACTTTGGTAGATTTAGCTTCAAAACCATAACTGCTGGTTAATGTGAGAGGTATTCAGTTAGACGTACATATAAGTAGTAGTGAGACGTGTGCTATTTATAAATATTATCAGTAGTATATATATATATACGAAAAGATGTTCATCGGCAGAGAAATATCAAATAGCGGAGAGACAGATTTGATTTCAAAGACAGCGAATGAACCAACATGGGAGACACAAATAGAAGACAAAAGAACACAGTACTAAAAGCAAAGGTAGTACAACACAGAAGATCTGTGCAAATGACGATTTTCAGATAAAGTAAACATAATTTGTCTACAGGAGGTCAATCGCGAGCCTGAATAGCTTTGTGGTAACGTACCTGACTGCAGCACTGGGTGACGCGGTTTTGAATCTCAGAAGGCACATGAGTTCATTTAAGGTTGCAGATACGCCTCGCTGACTGGTGAGTGCCAACTAGCACGAAACCTAGGTTCAACGCTTCCTGCTGATTACCTTCAACCATCTAATATCATCGAAACAATGTGCACCGTGATGGCGGGCTGCCTGGAACGGTGGCCACATTACAACCTGACTGATAGAATTTAGTCTGCACCAAGGAGAGGACTAGACACATCACACTAGTTACTAGTGTCAAATCAAAATAATTTGTTAACACATTCTGTTATCGAATATCTTGTTTTGTCTCGTCACAGTAGTATGTAATACACAGCATTTATACTAGCTATTTTGATGTCATTTTTGATGCTAAGTAGCTCACATACTCCTATATAGAGTACTGAGAGCCTTCAAAAGAAAGTGGCACTGGAATGTCACATCAGACCACGGAAATAACTCTGAAAAATAAAACTTGTAGTCTTCTACTTTAATTATAATGATTTTTTTTAGCCAAAATAAACCCCATAATAAACGATCGTTTTTTTGTGTGTGTATCACATCTTTTTTTCAATAAATCTTTGTTTATTCTATATACGTTTCTTTTTTAGGCTATGGACATGTGACACCGCATACACCATTAGGTAAATTTCTTACCATGATGTATGCCTTATTTGGCATACCATTATTCTTTTGTTATCTGTCAAACAGTGGAAATTACATGGCATCATTATTTCAAGTCTTCTACATACGTATATGTCAACCAGCATTTGTACAATTTAAAAAATGCCTTAAAAGGTGTTGCAACAGAAAGGTTAAACAAGAATCAAAATTATCAAAAAATATTAATAATAATAATGAAATTCTTGTCTGTCAGAATAGTTCACCCTCATCATTATCATATGCGCCAAGATATAAAAGGTATAAACGAGCCCTGCCTAACACTACTTATTCTTCATCGAAAAATAATAGTAGTAGTAGTAGTATGAGTATCTCTCCAACAATTAACAAGCATTTACCTAATCAATATCTCAATAATGGTATACCTAATCGTAATCTAAGCGAGAATTTAAACTACGACAATATGAATCGACAAAATATCCCGTGGACTTATAAACTCTCACAGACTGTATCATACAGACCTGAGGATTTATTAGATCATGTGATATCTACACCGTCTTATGCAAATGCTCAAAACTATCCATCTCAAATGTTTGACTTTAATAACAATCCATACACAATCAATCCATATACAAAACATCATACACCATTAGAAACTTATGAATTGTCAAGTTATCATTCCACTGCATCTCATTCAATGCATGAACAGTCATCAAGTGAATTAAACCATCATCCTCCTAACAACAACAACAACATCAACTCAACCTGCGAATTACCAACATTAATGACGTCGACAAAAACAACAAGTCAACAATTTAAACAAAATAAAAATAATTTAGAATTACCTAATTCATCAATGAATGAATCAGTTAAGTCATCAAATGAGCCAGTAACAACAGTCCCGTTAACTTTAACTATTCTAATGATGACGGTATATATTTTATTAGGTGCAACTGTATTTTGTTTATGGGAGTCGACGGATTATTTGAAATGGTCATATTTTTGTTTTGTAACATTGTCAACGATTGGATTTGGGGATATTGTCCCAGGTGAGTGATTGACATTTATGAAATGACACTTTTCTCAAATGCCCAGTGATTAACAAAACTGGATACAATTTGACAATTTCCCATTGATTCATATAAATGAACAGGTGTTCCGAGAAGAGTTACTCTTTACGACGACATAATTCTCAAGCTGTATAATCGCATGTATATACTAAATGATATCAGCAATAAAAGCAACATTCCCGAAGATATGTCATTGGAATTGTAAATTTTAGATCACAAATTACGCAATATAGAAAGCAGTGCGAAGTCTTGACCAGTGCAGTTCATCAAGATGTCACGTGTGAGGATGGATGTCCCACCAACGACATTGGTTGGGGTCGCGCAAAATCACGAATTGGTAGAAGTTAGAATTCATGCACTAGCCATTGAATCGGGTCCCGTGGCTGAATGATATACGAGCTAGCCTTCCTTGTAAGTGGAAGGTCCTGGGTTCAAACCCTGGTGGTGGATGCATACTGCCGATGATTCCCAAACTAATATGAAGCATCTGGCTGTCCAGTGCTACCTGTTTTTCAGTGCTTCTCTAACTGATATCGATCCGTGATCAACTCATAAAAACAAAACTAACCCTTACAGAAAATTAAATCAAATAAGTACGTTGAGTGATGTAATATAACTGACGGGATTGAGTAGAATCCAGCCAAAATTTGAACGAGAGTCAGGCTAACAACAGCGGTAATAAGGGGTACAGTTTTAATAAAGGGTGGGAGAAGAAAATATTATACAACTAAGAAATAAAAAACAAGGATTTCCTATTTGGTCTAAAGAAAGATCAGCTCCATTGTAGATTTATCGACAGAACAAACTTCTTTTGCATTCAGAGTTCAGGATTTAACATATGGGGTTCGTAATTGTTTCTACGGTTTGAAGAAGCTCGATTAGTATTTTTTTAGTAAGATTCTCACTATTCTGCAGGTAACTATGAATTTACTAGGTGGATTGGCTTGGTGTTCCGATTCATAAAGCTGCAGGGGAATCTTTTTTCTCCTTTGTAAAACTATTAGGGTAAGTGTTCGATGGTACGTTCGGATAGTAAACGCTGGGAACGGCCAACATCCCTCACTCCATGCGAATAGGTGAATTGATAGGTGCACATTTATGACGCCAGTAGTAGTAGCTTATCACTGATTTCGTAGAGAAGGTTATTCCAAGTTCAGTTTCGAAGAAGGCTTTCTTCGGCAAGAAGAACAGGAGGTTTCGCAGCATTTCTGCTGGTGAGTCTCCTTTGAATAGTAAGTTCAAGTAGAGACGCTTTTTAAGTGCTTTCTACATTACGTAATTTGTTATCTAAAATTTACAATTCTAATGACATATCTTTGGAAATATTGCTTTTATTGCTGATATCATTTAGTATATACATTAGATTATACAGCTTCAGAATGATATCGCCGAAAAAAACAACTCTTCTCTGAACGCCTTTTCTTTTTTATACATTTAGTAAAGTAATGAGGATTTATATTCATTGGTAATATATTAGAGACTGACTGTATTGCTTTCTTTAAATGATATTTGTTATCCTATTAAGAATAAGATTTAAAATACCTTATGTTTCCATGCACATATTTTGGGGTTCAGTGGCCGACTGATGAACTCCTATACCTTACTTGACCACTAGTAAACCCCGTGAAGTGGGGTTTGGCATGAAGCTTACAACTGCAAACCGTAAAGAAAACTCCAGCTACTGACAACATAAAAATCTAGCTTGAAGACTTACGCTCCACTTGAGGTGCACATAAATAGGGAAGAAATATGGGAATATTTTGTACATGAAATATTATTCAGAACATATTAGCACTGTAAACCTAGAAAGACTGAAAATAGACAACTGTATTTGTTATTGTTCAGGTTATTTTAAGCGATATTAATTGTGAAGGTGTAATATTAAACAGGAATAGCAAGAAAAAAGTAGAACTTGACTCTGCCTACATTGTAGGCAGTTTTTCTTTTCCTTTTGACATATAAGGAGAGTGCAGTTCATTGGCTTTTTATTCAGTGAAAAGAGAAATATACAAACGGCTATAGTGAAACCCTTTGTGATTCTGGACAGTTCTTTAATCTAAACTGTATTGAATGCAGATTTGTCAGTGAGGACTGATTACGACTTCTTGTCCATTCACGCGTGTATTTGCTTCATGTCTACAGTGAAATGAATATTTATTGTATGTCTCTGTTACAAATGAAGGTACCATGTAGAACCGATTGCTACGCACAACTCAGATGTTAGGATTAGCATTAGAGCCTTGATGAAAGCATTCTAATGGCAATATTAATAGTCATTCACTGGAAGGTTTATTGTAATGTGGTTTCTGTACAAAACAGTAGTTTATATAGGTATATAATTCGATTGAGTTCAAAGTGGAACATAAGGCTTCAATAAAACATCTCCACTTTGTTCTGTTTCCTGCTATCCTCTTCATCTGGGTTCACTATTTACCATAAACTCTCAACTCCTCCTCACAAGATCTCTTCCATGCCACTCCAGGACAACCCACTCATCGTCGTTCCATTGGGATTCCACTCAAGCGATGACCTGGCGCGCAACGTCATTCGACGGTCTCCTCAGCTTATGCCTAATGCATCTCTACTTTCTACTCCAAATTTGTTGCTTGATCGCCTCTTGGTTGGTTTGTTCCCAGCCAGAGTTTCTTATTGCTAATTCTCTCTGATAGGCCGGTCATTTTAGCTTCAATGTGGAGTCAGAGAAGTATGCAACTGTTGACAAAAGTCTGCAACCTATTGGAATTGCTTTCTGTGATGTGCAGGGCAAGTTTTTGGCCCATATAGAAGAACTGACTTCACATTGGTGTAGACAATCCAAATCTTGTTCTTTATGCTGGCTGAAAGAAGATTTTCAAACTGGTTTCAGGTGGATGAAAGTGCATCTTGCTTTTGCGTTTCTGGCTGGCCTTGACATCTGTATTCGTTCCGATTGCCTGTTGTGAAGGAAGTAACCTCTGTCCAACTTATGGTGATTCTCAGTTCTCAACCTTTGTATGTATACATAGTACTTTAGTGGTTCAATGGTAAAATGTTCACCAATGACGCATGTGGTCGGGGGTTCGATTCCCGGCCGACGTTCACCTAAACCTCACTAAACCAGTATGAAGCCTGGTAAAGGTTTTGAGTGAAGCTAGCAACTATACCTCGTGAAAACAACACCATTTCTGCTGAATCTTCATAATAAAGAATTCTGAAGCGCTTTGTTCCCCTCGAAACTCATGGAATGAACAAACATATATACATGAAGAATATAATTATTTAATAGCACTAGAAAGTTTATACCACACAGGAAGCCAATGTCGCTGACGTTAATGATCATCTTGGAAAGTATCTTCACTTAATTTGTTTATAACAGTATCTTAATTAACTGTAACTAAAATAAAAGCTTTACAGAACATGATTACTTTCCACTTGAATTAATAAAAAATCCCTAATCAACAATAATCTGAACATCCTGGGCAAACTAACTGTTCACAAAGACTTGGTCATAGGACTACAATTTGTAATATGACAAAATAGCTGTCCAGTGCTCCTCTTAGCTTTCAGCGAATGACTACCTGCTAGGTTTTCCTTCCACAAGGCTTCCAAGTAGCTGACGAAGTTAATTTTGATGAACAACTATTTTTTTCTCATATGACCTGAGAACGGCAAATAATTCACCTAGAGAAATGCACTCGTTCTTAAAGTCTGTCAGTAACTCCTTCTTAGACCCATGAAGATAACTGTTTCAGAAATAACTCTATGAATGCTGAAAATTATTCTCTTTTTTTTGATTTACAGCTTGATTCCACACTGTATTTTTGGTACAAGTATGGAATTTTCAGCATGGATATCGGTAGCCCAAATTTTTCAGGCCGACCATAGATATCAGGTGTGCGTCGGTGCGGGCTCGAACCCCGGACCATGTGCATGGTTAGCGAAAGTCCTAACCACTGTGCCACCGACGCACAGAAAGGGCTGGTACAGATTCATGAGAGGAAGCATTTAAGGGAGCACTGATGTCAGGTCCACAAAGTACAGTACTACATAACTTAAAGGGAACTGAAGAACCATAATCAGTTGATATGCTGTCAGTTTCAGTCATCAATAGCTTGCACTATAAACATAACTGTTTACTGTCAACAAACCATCCTGTTTAAATTTGTTCGAAGCTCATTTCAGTATATCCTGACAATTAGTATCACTAAACGCATATAGAACTTAAATCTTAATGTGATGATGATTCTCAGTAGGTATCATTCATTTGCTTTATGACATACAAACTACAAAATTTTGAAATAAAGCAGAAGTGGTAGTATATACTCATATGCATTTTTATTCTACTAATTTTCGGCAGTCATATATTACAGATGTCGATGTTTGAACTCATTAACTGCTCTATGAATTTTACTGCTTAACTAACTTCCATCTATCAGGATGCATTTATTGGCTGCAGCTGTTGAATTATAGCTGTAGAAATGCTTTTGGTAAAGTAAGTAGTCAGTAACTTTTCACAGGACTCTTTATCTAAGTTGAGCAGTAAGACTATCAGAAGTCTTAGTAGCACTACATTCAAATCTGATGAATATCCATCCAAGAGGAGCCTTAAACTCCTACTCTTTAGCACAGCCTTCTGTCTTCCAGTCGGACTTCAAAAGAGGCCTATTGGCACTTATCTCTAAGCCTCCTTCACACTGGCCACCCAACAGGATCTTGACCACCATCAGCTTTGTCTTCTTCTCCGTAAAACGGACCGTCTACGAGATTACCAGAAAGTTCTTTTTGTGTTTTTTCATATTTCTTTCCTTAAGACCCTGTGATCAAGATATTTTAATCTTGTAAATAAGCAGTGACAGCAGTTGTAGAAAACAATATGAGTGAGTATATATGTCATGCTTATTAGAACAATAAGTAAAGAAACATTTTGCCTGCTGTTTACATATCATACAAGTATCTCATATTCGGAAGAAGCTCTTCACTAATTTTCTTTCCTTTTTCGATTCTCTTCAACATTTCAACCTTCTGTTATCAGTCAAATATCAAATGTAATTACTTTTCTAGAAGACATCACATTATTTACCACTTATACCTTTTGCTGTAAGTAATAGTATACCCTAGTAGCAGGAATGCTAGTACTACTACTTCAGTGGTTGGAAGAGGGGACTGAGGAAGGGCGAATTAACAGAAACTTGTAAAATTTTGTAGTAGAACATACTCAACCGTGAGAGAGAAGGCTAAGTGATGCAATTCATCTAAGCTTTATTTCATTATGTGAGTAATCTAATTTATGAGCAGATGAAAACTGAAAGATAGGCTCTAACTTAAGCTGTGTCGAAAACAACTTCAGCGAAAAATAGGCCTGTTAACCTGCCACTTATCTCATCATTGTTCTAATAACAAAAATCCAGCGAAAATTCACAATTACTACACTATGAAGATATTTTGAGAAAACTAGAAAATGACCTTGACACAACAGTATCAGTAAACAAGAATGAAAAAAGAAATATACATATTAGTGATTACTTAACTCATCTACGTCCTCCATAATATAGATCTCAGAAGCGATACCTTTTTGTCAACTTAGTCGATAAGAAAACAAAATCTTAGCAAATTTAAAGTACACTCGAATATCCATTGAGAAGTTTAACAATTTAATCTTTACTATCACTTCGTTAAAGCTTTACTAATTACCATTACAAAAATAATATATGATTAACGTTCTGAAATAATTTAAACAAAAACTTCAGGGTCATATATTATTTTCGTTCAATATTTGAAAAAAAGATTAGTTATTACATTCAATGAAGGGGAATACGAACTTCTGTCTAAGTGGCTGTAAATGTACATGTTTTAATTACTTAGGTGTATTATAGAAGTTCTTATAAGCCTAATCAATGAAGGATATCAAAGCTTTCATTATTCTGAAGTCTGTGTAGAGGTCAACAGTACTCAGCATGAAAACGAAAATAAGATCCAAATTTTCAACTCCAATGTGTAGTCAGTGCTACTATACGAATCAGAGTCTCGGTGCTTCATGAAGAGCACCTCAAACAAACTACACACCTTCATCAACAGCTGTCTTCGCTCAACACTCAAGATCAGATGGCCAGAAAAGAACAGCAACAGTGACGGCTCTCTGGAAGCAAACCAACCAGGTGCAAATTGTGCAATATGCAGGAAAAAATGGGGGTGGATTGGATTGACAATACTCTGAGAAAACAAACCATCAAGTGAGTGACGTCATACGCTAGACCATTGCTCAAGTGAAGCCCGAATGGGAGGCGGTGAGTCGGGCATCAGTGTAAGGATGACATGAAGGAGATCATGTGAAGTGAAGATGTGGACAGACGTGGACCCAGGTGAAAAAGTTGGCAGAGAACCGAACGCAATAGAGACGTGCAGGTGAAGCCCTTTGTTCTACTAGGAATTAAAGGAAACAATTATAATAATGATAACAATACCAGCCAATGCTAAGCCTAGAAAAAAAGGAAGGTTGAGAGCAAAGCTAAAACTTCACCTCATAAAAATGACATCACCAATACGGAGAATTCAAAGCTTGGAGGCTTATTTTCCACTTTTAACCTAGAGCAACAAGAAGAAATCCTCACTACATTAGACCAAAATCAAAGACGTCACAGGCCCTGTTCCTTCTTCATATGATATTGTTGTTAGCAAGGGGAAAGTGCCATTCACAGGCGTAACACAATTGATGAAGAGTTAGTCAAATAAAACACCATAAATGAGGCTTAATAAGTTTTCCAGATGGATCTCATGATTTTAGACAGATATGCACTGAAGGATAGATGGATAGATAGACAGTGAAAAAAGTAGGCTTGATTATTCTAACAGAAGAAAAAACTGGATTGGTGTTATTCTAATGTATCATATATATCAGTGATATTTATTGCCAATCATTCTATTCGCCATGAAATAATTACAAAAATGATTAATACATTTTTCCGCTAAAAAAATAAACTCTCTCCGTCTGTCAAAGAACTAGTGAAAGAATTATGATGGATATGCATACCTGTTTGCTTCACTTTCCTGATCTCCCCTAATAAAAAAAGTATAAACGATCAAATGGAAAAGTTCAGCTTTCTTTTTTTCCTAATTTTCTTCAAAATAGGAAGAAATTAATCTAATTTCAAAGTAAAAATACTTTTATTTAACAGTTGAATAAATACTGGAATTGGTAATTTATCATTAAAGATAAAAAGTGGCGTACTATTTAAACTATTTGAATTCAGTTGATTTTAAACAGAAATATAGGAAGCATTTTTTGGATATCATTGTTCGTTTATTTTGATGATGAACTTTACAATGTCTTCTAACTGGAAAGTCTTGGGTGAGAACTGCAGTGAGTGTGCATTGCGGAAGAATCCCAAATAAGGACGATAAAAGTCGATGAAATCGATGTGCGGTTTTGGTTGAGCACTGGTCAGTAATCAGTGTCATGCGTCTAGTCATTTGTTTGGTGGAGAATCAATTCTGTTAGTCAGGTTTGAGATGTGGCCACCATGGTAGGTGGCTGGACATCACAATGTACTCAGAAGTGTTGTTACTATATGGTTAGAGATAATCAATGGGAAGCCTTGGACCTAAGTTTCGTGTTTGTTGGCAATCTTGAATAAACAAATTACTAGACGCATGACACTAGTTAGTGCCCAATCGAAGTATCTAATACTGTTCAGCAGGAGGTCAGTCGCAGGCTCGAGTAACTCTGTGGTACCGTCTCTGACTAAATGGGGAACACAGGTTAGAATCTCTAAAGGTACATGTGTTCCTTCAAGACTGCAGATACGCCTTCCTGATTGGTGAGTGCCAATAAGCCTAAAACCCAAGGTTCGAGTCTTCCTGCTGATTACCCCTAAACATCTAATAGTAACAGACTAATTCGTGAAAATTAATCTAATGCTCGCTCCCTAGAGTTCTAGTGAGAAGTCGTGTTCGGTACAGTCCATCGGGTCAGGCGTGAATACAAATACGGCCAACAACATTGGCTGGTGGTGGCGCTACAATCACAAATTAGTAGGAGTTGGAGTTCATGGGCCGTTGGTTCGATGGGTCCCAGTTGTTGAATCGTCCGCGAGCTTGCCTTGTAACCGAAAGATCACGAGTTCGCACCCCAGTGGGTGCATACTGTCGAAGAGCCCCGAACTAGACGAATTTGATGAAGAAATTATGAAAACCTCTAGATTTTATTACTTACAGATCAACTAAACTGGTCAAACTGATATGTTGATGACATGTTTTCTTTTCGCAATATGTGGAACTTTCGCATTTAACAAGTCGATGCAGTATTTCCTTTCATTTTATAGAGTATACGTCAGTTAACATTGTTTATATAAACCTTCTAAATAATTGTACAGATTTGAAATGGAGTTACGTAAAGAGATCTCTTCACTGAATCAATTTCAGATATTTATTTTAGTTAAATTCATTTGTCTGTGAAGTCTTATGATTCACCTGTCTACTAATCTGTAAAATAAATACATCAGTATCAGAAATTATTCCTTATTTACATTCGGATAACATAGTTATCGAAAAATTACACATATTACTTGAGAGTTTACTTTAAATTGATCATCCCCTTGACTACCAGTAAGTTGTAAATTTGAAGTTTCATCACTAGCTGACTTCAGGCAGGAAACTACTGAAAACTATGAAGTACTGTTTCGTCCTTGTTTGGGGTTCTTCAGTGACACGCACCCATGACCGTAATGGAGACTAAGTCCAAGACCTTCAGGTGACAAGATCAGCTCAGCCACTGGAGCAGAGACTAATGGCCCATTACTTCCAATTTGTGGTGCTGACCACAGTCAGAAACAAACTTGACGATATGGTAGAATTCTAGGAGACTACAATAATGTTAACCATGAATCAGATTCCACTCGTACTTAAATTGCACTTCTAGTGGTGGCACAGAAGCCTTTGGTAGTAGTTTTATCACCATCAAAGTTCCATTACGTCATCAATCAATGTTACCTGGAACTGATAGTGACACCATAGAAGAGTTGTGTAGTTGCTTTTGTGTATAGAATATAAAACTATCTTTGCAATCACGCGGAAATATTCTCTCTCTCTCTCTGTATACCATATTAAAAAATTATGTAATCCAAAACTGACTTTTTTTCTACTCTATTTTTCCATTTCGTCTTGTCTTTTACTAGGCACAAAAATTGATTCACAGAATCCAAAAGAGAAAATGATCGCTTTAGCCTTGTATGTAGCCCTTGGTTTATCATTATTTGCAATGTGTTTCAATCTGATGGAAGAAGAGGTGACAGCTAAACTGAAAAGAATCGGACGTCGTATCGGTGTTACTCAATCGACAAAGAAGAAATCAAAAGCCTAATATTACTTGGCCTACTACTTTCACACACACACACACATACAAACTAACTCACTTCATCACCATTCTTATCATAAACACGTAAATCTCATCATCTTTGTCATTATTACTCTTGTTATGCAATGAGGATTTCGCAAAGCATAGTGAGTTTTCTGTTTGTCTTCGAATTGTAAGTTCAGAGAGTTATGAGTGCAAATATGTACAACACACATACAAATAAAGTCATAATCATTTATGTGACATACATGTCAAAACAAGCTATGCTTTAGTTAATTCATGTGATAATTTTTTATACATATATATATGTAGTAGAAAAAATACTTTTGTGAGAAAAACCAATTAAATATTATTATCAGGGTGTAAAATTAACCTGTGTTCTAACTTTGTTTTTCCCTTTTATTTTGAGTCACAACTATCAACTGTATCGACTTGAAGGTAACAGAATACATTTTTTGTCCGTTCGACTTGAGCTACTTATTTTAAATTTAAGTAATTTTAAGTGTCTAATAAAACAGTCAATGAAAAAATAAGCAATTTAGCTTCTCTCTTTTTTCAATGGAGACATCGATCAAGTTAGAAATAGACAGTTTTAAGCTATCTTGCTAGTCATTCATAAAATAATTCAATTTTCAGTGTTTGTGTCAATGGGTTAAAAGTAGGTGTCATTTGTCACATAAATCAGTCTCTTCGTAGATTGTGTGTAACGCTTAACCAATAAAAATGGATTTACACTATGTAGAGTTTAAGCTTTTCACTGGTACAGACAAGATATCTAGATGATGGAGTAACCTCAATTAAAGGGATTTCAAGAATGACTTCTAAAATCACGTTTCAGAATGAATTCAACAGTGCTGATAGACATCTGAATGGAAGGTGAACACCTCTCTGCAGAAAGGCGGTAGATAATTCAACAACTGGAAAGACAGATGAGAAATTCAAAAAATTTGTTGCCGGGAAAACATTATTGGTGACTGAAGCGGGAAAACGAATGAAGTCTAATTCCATGTGTATTTTTTAAGTTCACTTGCTCTTGAGAAAAATATCCTTTCGCCTTCGAGAAAACCTCTCAGCTTCGCTGATCGAGGGGGACAACATGAAGCCAATAATTTATCTATATTCCAATATGTATTATATAAAGAACATACAGCCTATTATGTAACCTTCAGGAATTGTCGGGTGACTGAACTTCCTTTGCATAGTCAAAGCAATGGCAATAATAGAATGTTACTTTCGACTTAAATTTACCATCATAAATATGTGATTCACAAAACTTTGTCTCTCATATTCTGTGATGCTTCATTTCACTTCACTTTATGTCATCACATTCTAACATTTCTGTGCATTTTTAAAATTCAATAGTTCAACCATTTGCGCTGCTCATTTCCGAATGTACTTATTCTTTCTATGGATATTAGCCTAATCAACTATTTACTCGTGTCTATGGTAATTTATTCATTCATATTTCTAGTCAATTCGTGATTTAATAACCATCTAAGCAACTATTATCACAATTGAGTAATTTTTTCACTCACTGTTAAATCTTAACAAACATACTTATAGATAATATATTTCATTCCATACATGAATGCTATGTACAAGTAAGAAAACAAAATAGTCGAAAAAAAAGATTTTTATCTTTAAAATCATTGGTATACGTCATTTTTATGAGTTTGACCACGGATTGATATCAGTTAGAGAACCATTCGACACCAGAGAGTACTGGACAGCTGTTTCATCCTAGTTTAGGGATCATCATCAGTACGCATCCACTGCCAGGGTTCAGACCCAGGACCTTCCGGTTACAAGGCAGGCTCGTAAATCATTCAGCCACTGGGACCCGGTCCATAATTTATTATTATTCCCGAGTTGCGAGTGGAAATTAAGGCTTCAACAAAGCATCCCCATTTTCCTTCCTGTTTTGTGCAGTCGTCTCTAGCTGGCCATACGATTCCTCATTGACATTCGTCTACCACTCACACGATCTTCTACATATCACCCTCGGTGGCACAGCGGTTATGACTCTCACTGACAATATACATGGTTTGAGGTCCGATCCCCTGCCGACGCACGCCTGATATCTATGGTCGGCCTGCAAAGTTTGGGCTACCGATATCACATGCTGAAAATTTCATACTTGTACCATACATGTGTGAAATCAAGCTGTGATCGAAATTAAAAATTAAACTAAAATTAACTAGTACTTTCCTATCCGGACACCTCTCAGTATTGGAATATTTGTTGAGTAACAGGTGTTTGATTCGTTCGTCAGTTCCCACAGTTTCTCATTGCTAATTCTTTCCAACTGGCTACCAGATCTTCAAAGTGGTACGAAGGCAGCTGTCGATAGAAGTCCGCTTTTCGTGACGTTTCACGTTTCTGAACCGTATAGAAGAGATGACTTAGAATTGCTGTTGAAAATCCGAATTTCATCCTTTATGCTTAGGAGTGCAGGTCTGTCTTGACTTTCTCATTCTGATTTTGATATCCTCATCCGTCACACCGCCCGTAGTTGGAACGATGATGCCTAGATAAATGAAGGAGGTGACCTCTTTCATCTTAATATAGCGAAAATATTCATTCGGATATCTATAAAAAAAAGATAATTGAGCAAAGAATACTCTTTTCGATAATTTCCTCTTTCAGGTCTACACTTATACACATATATGTTTATATACATAGAATACTCTAGAATAGTAGTTAATAACAATATTGGTGTTTTTTTAATAATATCGATTTGTCAATTAAGATCAATGGAATTGCAGTTCATTAAAGATGCTTGAATTATAATAATAACAAAAATATAATAGCAAATAGAATATCAACTAAAATTAAAGAAATTTCTACAAAAATGTAGAATCATTCGAACCTTGATGGCCAAGGTGTGGACAATGTCTAGAATTGGCTTCTTTTGGACGCATAAATTGGGCTTCTTAATGTGGATCCCAACGGCCTCAGCAAAATTTGGTAAACGAACTCTTAAGGCAAAGTTAAGATTAGCTGGTATGCAATAGGTGACTTTAAAAAGCCTGGTTGATATCAGTCTTGTGTTCCGTATCCACCAGATGACATAGAATAGTGCTACAAATATATTTACTTAACCACTCAGGTTGATGTTGGGAAATCCGACGAGAAACACGCCTAATTGTATGGCCTGTAAAACTGCCTCCACAGGAGTAGTCATTTTGTCAGGTTCTATCTGATTTTTTTTTACCGATTTCCATCATTCAGCCTAGCCAAATGTGTACAGCATAAGTAACGGTGATTATCAAAATATATCGAGATCAATAACCATGTCTTCTGTCTGCTCTTGCACCAATATAAGAATCTTATTTTTGTTCCAATTATCTTGACCTTACTAATAACTGGTAGTGATGTTTCTAAAAGGCTAATAACTGTCTATATTAGCGAGTCATTAAAGTATTCTGCATAGTGTCACAAAACTACTAACCGTTTCTTTGAAATAATGAATTCCGTATTATCAGTTAATCATATTTTTCATCCCTTGGGTTCCGAATAGAACAGAGAACCTCAGCAGCACATTGGCATTTCATTCTGTTCTCTGTAATACTTTACAGCTGGCTTCAAGAATGCCAATAGGCTTTCATCATGTCTTCCTCACATGAGCTCCTCCATGTCATTCTCAGATGTCTGACTCATCGCTTCCAATCCGTATTCGACTCGAAGTGTTAACTAGTGTGTAAAGTCTGTCAACAGTCTTATTAGCATGTACATCCAAATTAATCTCCGTATCTTTATGTATATCTGCTGGACATTATGCTGTTGATTGATCCATTTCCCGAAGTTGCTCGTTGCTTCTCCTAATTAATCGGTCATCGGTTCTTCAATACCTAGCGAATGCACACTTGAATAATCACAGACCTCCTTACGCACTAATAAAGACATCCTTTTAAATAAATCAAGTTTTTGTGAAAAGTTAAATAAATCTGTGAATTTCGAATACTGAAGATTTTTTTCGAAAATTCAATCTTAAAAATTCTTTTTTAAAAAACAATAGAAAATCTTAGCTACATGTAGGGAGGTATGCATTCATATCGTATCTACCTGTCTACTCGTATGTGGAAGTAATTTATACTTATAGGAATTTCTGAACAGTCAATCAACAAATATCACTTCACAACAGTATCGACTGCAGAAAGATTATTAAAGTAAACAAAACCAAAAGCAAATTTAGTTAACATATTTCTATGGTGTGCTTTTTTCTCCAGGAATTAATACAAGTATTCTGTCTGTTAGTCATATCTTGAACTATTTATTATCTCCTTACAGATAGCTAGATTCAGAAAAAGTTTTAAACAAGACAGATGTTTAAGCTGGAACACCTTCAATGTAGATAGTTGATCCACTTGGTTTGAACTGAGGCATAAAGCTGTTCAGCAAATGTACCCCTGGATAATTAAATTGATGTTGTTTTTATTAACACAAGAAGAGGTGTTCAAATTTGAAATGAAAAAATCCCGTCTAGACATACTTTGATGAGAGGAAATATTAGACAGACGTTGAGGCAAAAAAAAAAAGAATTTTCATTTTTGACAAAGTCATCAACTAGGTAGTCAATTTCACTTTCAGACGTAAACGTAACCTACAACAACTAGTTAGCTCACATGGTCCCACTATCATTGACGGCATAGAGGTTGAAAATACATCCGATGTCAAGTACCTTGGGCGGAGTTTTTCCACCGATCTTTCCTGGTCCTCCCACATCTTGCTAGTTACTAGAAAAATGTTTCGCTTAACGTTCTACACTAGGAAATTTGGGCAGTCCGGCATAAAGCAGTCTTTACTTTTTCAGTTTATAAATTCTTGCATTCTACCCATCCCACTTTACTGCTGTCCATTAATCTTTCCTGAACTACTTAAGAAAGACTTTGCTTCGCTGAGAAGGGCACTAAAAGCTGTTAGTAGGGCAAGTGGGATATCCTTAAACCAACTGGTTAACACTATTGTGGATAGACATATTATGTTATGTAAGAAACTAGCGAATACAATATTGTCGGACCCCGAGCATCCTCTCTATACGCATCTATCTCCTTGCATTTCATCTGGTAGAACTAGAAGCAGCTATAAGAGGCTATATGCTAGGACTACCAAGTACAAAAGCTCCACAATACCACATCTGGCACAGCTGTTATGTGATGAGAAATCCGTTAGGTATGATATGATCAACTTACTGTGGCACTCTAACAAATAGTCCCACTAGTTTTGTTTTACTTTCCTCGTTACTATTACACTGTTGTTCTCATCTTCTATTACACACCAGTTTTATATTTCATATCCTGTAGTGCATTGTTTAAAATGTGAACCCAGTGCTGTTGTTTTTATTTTTTTCATCTATCTTTTTTTGGCGCTGCTTTTTGATTTTAAAATCTTACAAAATTTATGAG